ACAAGGGAACGACCAATAACCCCAAAAAACTGCCACTAAAAAGTTTGAAAAAAACAAGGGGAATGTAAAAGTGTATCACCTAATTTGGTTTTTCAGGGTCGAAAATCACTTCTGGGGCCCCATCTTCACGATTGCTACAGGTTCTCTTCCCCCCCGCTCCCTGACTTTATCATACCTATTTAAGTATGTATATTTCCTGCCCCTATATCTCATTTCTGGCATTCCCTTTCTGCTAATCTTTGACGAAGAAATATTCTACATCCTTTGATCTTCTGGGGTTTTTAACCCTTCCGTTGGACCCCCTTTTTTCTTGTCCTTTTGGAACATCGCTTATCCCCCTTTTTATTATGCAGTATTTTGTATGTCGTTATCTGTTCCCCTGAAACCCCCCGTCCCAATGTCGTCAGACCGATTTCCCTTAACCTTTATTCGTAGGACATTCCCCTTAGCTCTGGAACTAACCTTGTCGCAAACCTTTGCACTTTCTCTAATTTCTTAACGTGCTTGATCAAGTGTGGGTTCCAAACAGGAGCTGCGTACTACAGTATGAGCCTGACGTAAACGGTGTACAGTGTCTTGAGCGATTCCTTACTGAGGTATCGGAACGCTGTTCTCAGGTTTGCCAGGCGTCCATATGCTGCAGCAGCTATTTGGTTGATCTGTGCTTCTGAAGACGTGCTCGGTGTTATACTCACCCCAAGATCTTACTCCTTGAGCGAGGTTTGCAGTCTTTGGCCACCTAGCCTATACTCCGTCTGCTGTCAGTTGCTGGACCAGGTGTACAGCCTGTCCAGGTCTCTTTGAAGTCCTGCCTGATCCTCATCTGATTTAATTCTCCTCGTTAACTTCACATTATTTGCGAACAGGGACACTGTTGAGTCTAACAGTTCTATCATGTCATGCACATATACCAAAAATAGCACTGGTCCTAGGACCGACCCCTGTGGTACCCCGCTCGTCACAGGTGCCCACTGTGATACATAGGGGCTACAGTCATGACAGACTGGCTACAGTCATGACAGACTGTCTACAGTCATGAGAGATTGTCTACAGTCATGATAGTCTGTCTACAATCATGACAGACTGTCTACAGTCATAACATACTGACAACAGTCATGACAGATTCACTACAGTCATGACAGACTGTCTACAGTCATGACAGAGTGGCAACAGTCATGGCAGACTGGCTAAAGTCATGAGAAAGTTGCTACAGTCATGAAAGAGTTGCTACAGTCATGACAGACTGTCTACAGTCATGACAGACTGGCTACAGTCACGATAGACTGCCTACAGTCATGACAGACTGTCTACAGTCATGACAGACTGTCTACAGTCATGACAGACTGTCTACAGTCATGACAGACTGCCTACAGTCATGACAGAGTGTCTACAGTCATGACAGACTGGCTACAGTCATAGTAGATTCTCTACAGTTATGACAGACTGTCTACAGTCATGACAGAGTGACAACAGTCATGACAGACTGTCTACAGTCATGACAGACTGTCTACAGTCATGACAGACTGCCTACAGTCATGACAGACTGTCTACAGTCATGACAGACTGCCTACAGCCATGACAGACTGTCTACAATCATGACAGACTGGCTATGTCATAGTAGATTCTCTACAGTTATGACAGACTGTCTACAGTCATGACAGAGTGACAACAGTCATGACAGACTGGCTAAAGTCATGAGAAAGTTGCTACAGTCATGAAAGAATGTCTACAGTCATGACAGACTGTCTACAGTCATGACTGTCTACATTTATGACAGACTGGCTACAGTCATGACAGCCTGGTTACAGTCATGACAGATTCTCTACAGTCATGACAGACAGGCTACAGTCATGACAGATTCTCTACAGTCATGATAGACTTTCTACAGTCATGACTGTCTACATTTATGACAGACTGGCTACAGTCATGACAGCCTGGTTACAGTCATGACAGATTCTCTACAGTCATGACAGACTGTCTAGTTATGACACAGAGTGGCTACAGTCATGACGAACCCCGCAGTTATGGATATACAGTACTGAATATAGTCAGACGTGTGGTATGACTTCCTGTACACAGTAGGCTGGAAAAAAAACAGGAAGATGCAGTGTACCACAATCCTTTACCGACATGGTTTCAGGTACACAGTGGGATTTATGGAGTCACAAATACAGCTATCTGGAGATAGAGAGAGAATGAATGAGTCTATGTATAAGAAGCGTAGTGAGATGAGGTGTGTTGAAGCAATTATCTTGGATAAATTAAAAACAGGTTGAATAGATATTTGTGTGAGAAGTAGACAAATGTGTTAGTGATAAGGGCCACACTGTGGGCGAAACGTGTGTGTATGTGTGTCTTTTTCCATCGTGTTCGCATTGTATGCTGTTTTTCTCTTAGATTGAGGCGAGCAGATTAGATTAGATTTTGCCACCGAAGTTACTGGTTTATTGTGCACCCCATATCCATCCTGTGGACGGTAGCGCAAGAGCATATGGATACACAAAAGGTCTTGGAACTAGGCCTCAATAGGATTAACAGGTGTGCATTAGTTCACTTATCTGTTACAAGCAAAGATAGGAAATTTGCTAAGTATATCTGGTATTTTATTTTCACATAGGTTATTATACCGTCTGTCTCTGTATTCCTCAGAAAGTGGACAATTAAACACATAGTGCTCAAGACAGTGACCATATGCCTGACCACGCAATTTGCATTTGGTTTGGCCATCATCTGTGTCTGCCAAACTGCCAGAAGTACTTGTAACCAAGCCTAAGTCTGGCCACTACAACATCAGTCAGTCTGTTCACATTGCATGTTGCTCCATAAACATACTTATCTACGTTCATGTTATCATAGGTCTACTCAGCTTTCTAAATACATTCCTTGAACATTCATTTTTATTATTTACTTCTCTCCTAATATTATTCCTAATGCTAGACACAGATATACCAAAGTTATATTCTACATTCCCCTTCAGGGTGCTCTTCTTGGCTAACATATCAACTTTATCAGAGAGACTGGCGAAATCAGTGAAAAACTCAGTAGAGACAGTTTGACGTCCCTGATGAGGCAAATCTTCTCTCTGAATCATCGACATAATTAAGCCGTATACTCCTCCCATGTTTTTATCGACTTCAAGGTGACAGAAAATCAGATCTTTTTTGACGGTAACAGGATCTGTCTACACTAAAACATATCTTAGATGGCAATAGAAACTGGTCATACTAGAAATATCTTAGAGGGTAACATGGTCTTCGTACTAGAAAGTGGATGACTGGATCTGTTCATACTAGGCCTCACATGGTGGCCTCAAAAGATGAAGCAGAAGAAGAAGAAGAAGAAGAAGAAGAAGAAGAAGAAGGCTATAATCTCACCTGTTGTTCATCAGTGGCAGTTTACGAGAAACATATTTTTTGGGACCAAACTGCTGTGGTGTAATGTGGAAAATGTTTCTCATTATTCAATTTAATATGCAATTAGAAAACAGCACTAACTGGTGAAAATGGATGAACATAGCTGGTAAAGAGAATATCTGTGAGAGGAAAGTGAGATGATAAATAGGAATTAATCTGAATGAGAGAGCCAGATGTATCGTGGTCCACCAGGAGCCAGCGTTGTTGCCAGCGTTGTTGACAGCGTTGTTGCCAGAGTTGTTGCCAGCGTTGTTGCCAGCGTTGTTGCCAGCGTTGTTGCCAGCGGTTAAGTTGTTGAGAGAGCACTGATGAATAGTCTGAGAAAGAAATACCTCCGCGGGATGTCGTGAGGTCATGACCGAACGACCGAGTCTGCTTGCTCGTTGTCCTAAACGTCGACGTGTCCAGGGACTCAAAAAAAAAAAAAGACTTCTTGGGTTAACTAGAAATGCGACTTAACCAAAGTTGTATACGAAGGACGATAGGGTAGTGGAGTCGAATTTCTGTAAAAGTTTGTAACCCACTTTGGGAGTCCGAAAGAGTTACGAATGAGGTGGACATCGTCGCAATGTGTATTATAGCAGTGAGAATTGCAGATAACTCTGATGTTAAAACACCCACCGATTCTAGTAAATGGTGTTGGATTATTCTTTCAGGATAAAAGAAGCATACCCAATACCATCGGTAGATTCAGAACCACCAGTGTACACTGCAACATCATGAGAATAAAGTTGTCAAGAAAGAGTGAACCTTAGGTTATAGTAGGCTAGTGAGTTTTAGGCAGGAGCAACTGTAAATCGCTGGAACTTCCCGAAGAGAGAGTGGGGAAGTAATATGCAGAGATAAGGAGTGGATACGGAGACGAAAAGGGCGTAATAAATGTGGCTGACGATTAAATAAACTAGTCTTACAAATATCCGTTATCGTTCTATATGTGGAAAGATCGTAAAGGTCATGGAAGCGGACAAACCAACGGAGACAATGGGCGTCAAGTCAATCATGCCAAGACGGAGTGTTTGCCTCTGTACACAGGCTCGCGACTGGGGAAGATAAAAAAGAGTCCCTTAACAAGAAAGTATCCCTTGGTGATGAATGGGATCATGTTTAGAAAGAGAAGTCAGGAAGGCCGAAGAATATGTTTGATCTCCGTAGTTTAGTTTAGATAAGATCAGGGATGAATGAAGGTAGAAGAAGGGTTCAACTATCTGCTCCTCATGAAAGATGGTCGAGTGTTTTAAGTGTCTCAGGCTGCTATGACACGCAGCTTTTGAAGAGGTTATTTGAGGCCAGAACATTCCATGATCAAACAGAGGCCAGAGAAATTTGATTGTATATTCTACAATAACCTATTGATTAACAACAAAAATAATCACGAACCTACGCATCTTAGCAACATCCTGCGCCGTGGAGGTCCTGTAAGAGTCAGTAAGTTTTTGACATTATTTCCTTGCGAGAGATGAGGGAATATTGTAACACCAGAATGTTTTGAACCTCTCTGCTTTATTTAATAATCTGGTGTGTGTGTGTATATATATATATGTGTGTGTGTATGTGTGTATTTTGCGTGGGCGGAGTGTTATAAGGAGATGTGGGCACTCCACCCAGCTCAGACCTCTCCCTGCTACCCAGCCATGAACACCCTGGTGAGTACTCTGAACCTGTGTATATTACACATCTGTAGCTATGTATATATTTCACACCTGAAGCTGGCTGTGTATATATTACACACATGAAGATGTGCATATTTTACACACCTGTAACTATGTAAAGGTCGCACAAGTAGCTATGTATATGCCCCACACGTAGCTGTGTATATGTCGCACATGTAGCTGTGTATATGTCGCACATGTAGCTGTGTATATGTCGCACATGTAGCTGTGTATATGTCGCACATGTAGCTGTGCATATGTCGCACATGTAGCTGTGTATATGTCTCACATGTTGCTGTGTATATGTCTCACATGTTGCTGTGTATATGTCTCACATGTTGCTGTGTATATGTCTCACATGTTGCTGTGTATATGTCTCACATGTAGCTGTGTATATGTCTCACATGTTGCTGTGTATATGTCGCACATGTTGCTGTGTATATGTCTCACATGTTGCTGTGTATATGTCGCACATGTTGCTGTGTATATGTCTCACATGTTGCTGTGTATATGTCGCACATGTTGCTGTGTATATGTCGCACAAGTTTCTGTGTATATATCACACATGTAGCTGTGTATATGTCGCACATGTAGCTGTGTATATGTCGCACATGTTGGTGTGTATATGTCGCACATGTTGCTGTGTATTTGTCGCACATGTAGCTGTGTATATGTCGCACATGTTGCTGTGTATATGTCGCATATGTTGGTGTGTATATGTCGCACATGTTGCTGTGTATTTGTCGCACATGTAGCTGTGTATATGTCGCACATGTTGCTGTGTATATGTCGCATATGTTGGTGTGTATATGTCGCACATGTTGCTGTGTATTTGTCGCACATGTAGCTGTGTATATGTCGCACATGTTGCTGTGTATATGTCGCACATGTTTCTGTGTATATGTCGCACATGTTGCTGTGTATATGTCGCACATGTTGCTGTGTATATGTCGCACATGTTTCTGTGTATATGTCGCACATGTTTCTGTGTATATGTCGCACATGTTGCTGTGTATTTGTCGCACATGTAGCTGTGTATATGTCGCTCATATTGCTATGTATATGTCACACATGTTGCTGTGTATATGTCGCACATGTTGCTATGTATATGTCGCACATGTTGCTATGTATATGTCACACATGTTGCTGTGTATATGTCGCAATTGTTGCTAAGTATATGTCGCACATGTTGCTGCGTATATGTCGCACATGTTGGTGTGTATATGTCGCACATGTTGCTCTGCATATGTCGCACATGTTGCTGTGTATATGTCGCACATGTTGCTGTGTATATGTCACACATGTTGCTGTGTATATGTCGCATATGTTGCTATGTATATGTCGCACATGTTGCTGTGTATATGTCACACATGTTGCTGTGCATATGTCGCCCATGTTTCTATGTATACGTCACACATGTTGCTGTGTATATGTCACACATGTTGCTGTGTATGTGTCGCACATGTTGCTGTGCATATGTCGCACATGTTGTTGTGCATATGTCGCACATGTTGCTGTGTATATGTCACACATGTTGCTGTGTATGTGTCGCACATGTTGCTGTGCATATGTCGCACATGTTGCTGTGCATATGTCGCACATGTTGCTGTGTATGTCACAGATTTAGCTGTGTGATGCTAAAAGCTGTAAATGTAAAACAGAAAGAGACAGTCGCTCCCTTTACAGGCGACGGAAAAGAATAACAGAGCAGCTAAAAGAGGTCAATATATCTGAAATGCGCAGGGAGACACTGGTCAGAGAAATAGCAAACGTCGAACTTAAGCTAAAGGAATCTTATAGGAGTCAGGAATCGCGGGAAGAACTAAAAGCCATAAATGGAATCGAAAGAAACCCCAAAGTATTTCTTTTCCTGTGCCAAATCAAAGTCGAGAACAACGTCCAGTATTCTGGCCCTACTTAAACAAGATGGGTCCTACACAGATGACAGCAAGGAAATGAGTGAGCTACTCAAGTCCCAATATGACTCAGTTTTTAGCAAGCCGCTAACCAGACTGAGAGTCGAAGATCAAAATGAATTTTTTATGAGAGAGCCACAGAATTTGGTTAACACAAGCCTATCTGATGTTATCCTGACGCCAAATGACTTCGAACAGGCGATAAATGACATGCCCATGCACTCTGCCCCAGGGCCAGACTCATGGAACTCCGTGTTCATCAAGAACTGCAAGAAGCCCCTATCACGAGCTTTTACCATCCTATGGAGAGGGAGCATGACACGGGGGTCGTTCCACAGTTACTAAAAACAACAGACATAGCCCCACTCCACAAAGGGGGCAGTAAAGCAATAGCAAAGGACTACAGACCGATAGCACTAACATCCCATATCATAAAAATCTTTGAAAGCGTCCTAAGAAGCAAGATCACCACCCATCTAGAAACCCATCAATTACACAACCCAGGGCAACATGGGTTTAGAACAGGTCGCTCCTGTCTGTTCAACTGTTGGATCACTACGACAAGGTCCTAGATGCACTAGAAGACGAAAAGAATGCAGATGTAATATATACAGACTTTGCAAAAGCCTTCGACAAGTGTGACCATTGCGTAATAGCGCACAAAATGCGTGCTAAAGGAATAACAGGAAAAGTTGGTCGATGGATCTATAATTTCCTCACAAACAGAACACAAAGAGTAATAGTCAACAGAGTAAAGTCCGAGGCAGCTACGGTGAAAAGCTCTGTTCCATAAGGCACAGTACTCGCTCCCATCTTGTTCCTCATCCTCATATCTGACATAGACAAGGATGTCAGCCACAGCACCGTGTCTTCCTTCGCAGATGACACCCGAATCTGCATGACAGTGTCTTCCATTGCAGACACTGCAAGGCTCCAGGCGGACATAAACCAAATCTTTCAGTGGGCTGCAGAAAACAATATGAAGTTCAACGATGAGAAATTTCAATTACTCAGATATGATAAACACGAGGAAATTAAATCTTCATCAGAGTACAAAACAAATTCTGGCCACAAAATAGAGCGAAACACCAACGTCAAAGACCTGGGAGTGATCATGTCGGAGGATCTCACCTTCAAGGACCATAACATTGTATCAATCGCAGCTGCTAGAAAAATGACAGGATGGATAATGAGAACCTTCAAAACTAGGGATGCCAAACCCATGATGACACTCTTCGGGTTACTTGTTCTATCTAGGCTGGAATATTCCTGCACACTAACAGCACCTTTCAAGGCAGGTGAAATTGCTGACCTAGAAAATGTACAGAGAACCTTCACGGCTCGCATAACGGAGATAAAACACCTCAATTACTGGGAGCGCTTGAAGTTCCTGAACCTGTATTCCCTGGAACGCAGGCGGGAGAGATACATGATTATATACACCTGGAAAATCCTAGAGGGACTAGTACCGAACTTGGACACGAAAATCACTCACTACGAAAGCAAAAGACTTGGCAGACGATGCAACATCCCCCCAATGAAAAGCAGGGGTGTCACTAGCACGTTAAGAGACCATACAATAAGTGTCAGGGGCCCGAGACTGTTCAACTGCCTCCCAGCATACATAAGGGGGATTACCAACAGACCCCTGGCAGTCTTCAATCTGGCACTGGACAAGCACCTAAAGTCGGTTCCTGATCAGCCGGGCTGTGGCTCGTACGTTGGTTTGCGTGCAGCCAGCAGTAACAGCCTGGTTGATCAGGCTCTGATCCACAAGGAGGCCTGGTCACAGACCGGGTCGCGGGGGCGTTGACCCCCGGAACTCTATCCAGGAAAACTCCAGGTGTATATGTCACATATGTTGCTGTGCATATGTCGCACATGTTGCTGTGTATATGTCGCACATGTTGCTGTGTATATATCGCACATGTTGCTGTGTATATGTCGCACATGTTGCTGTGTATATGTCGCACATGTTGCTGTGTATATGTCGCACATGTTGCTGTGTATATGTCGCACATGTTGCTGTGTATATGTCGCACATGTTGCTGTGTATATGTCGCACATGTTGCTGTGTATATGTCGCACAAGCTTCAATTGTTTTCTTCTGTTTACATGTTTATTTTTGTTTATTTATATCACAAATGTCATTGTTCAATGACTGTGTCACACTGTGTTTACGCTTCGATTTATCGCTCTACTTGTGTTAACGCTTCGTTTTACTCGTGCTTACATTTCGTTTAAATTTGTGTTTATACCTACTTTTATTTGTGTTTACACTTGGTGCTGTTAGTGTTTATACCTGGTACTGTTGGTGTTTACACCTGGTACTGTTGGTGTTTATACCTGGTACTGTTGGTGTTTATACCTGGTACTGTTGGTGTTTATACTGGTTACTGTTGGTGTTTATACTTGGTACTGTTGGTGTTTATACTTGGTACTGTTTTGGTAGTTGTTTATACTGGTTACTGTTGGTGTTTATATTTCTGGTTTACTTGTTGGTGTTTAACTTGGTACTGTTGGTGTTTATACTTGGTACTGCTGGTGTTTACACTTGGTACTGTTGGTGTTTATACTTGGTACTGTTGGTGTTTATACTTGGTACTGTTGGTGTTTATACTGGTTACTGTTGGTGTTTATACTTGGTACTGTTGGTGTTTATACTGGTTACTGTTGGTGTTTATACTTGGTACTGTTGTTTATACTTGTTACTGTTGGTGTTTATACTTGGTACTGTTGGTTTTTATACCTGGTACTGCTGGTGTTTACACTTGGTACTGTTGGTGTTTATACTTGGTACTGATGGTGTTTATACTGGTTACTGTTGGTGTTTATACTTGGTACTGTTGGTGTTTATACTTGTTACTGTTGGTGTTTATACTTGGAACTGTTGGTGTTTATACTGGTTACTGTTGGTGTTTATACTTGGTACTGTTGGTGTTTATACTTGGTACTGTTGGTGTTTATACTTGGTACTGTTGGTGTTTATACTTGGTACTGTTGGATTTTATACTTGGTACTGCTGGTTTTTACACTTGGTACTGTTGGTGTTTATACCTGGTACTGTTGGTGTTTATA